CAATCCGGTTGTTAAGTGAATCTCGATTCCCCATTGACTTTGCTTGTCACAACATCACAAAAGGGATCACATGATCTTTGGACACAGCAACTGTCATGGATATAAACCATTTGCCAAGGATCTGAATGTTGATCACATGATCATCAGGATGCTGCAATGGTTGTTAAGTGTCAAAATTGTCATAAGTCACTTTTTTCAGATCCATTGTAACTTTGAAAGGTCACTAAACTGTTGTAAGTAGAGGACTTCCTGTATAGCAGTCGTCAAACAGAAGGCCCGCAGGCCAAATCCGGCCCACCGTGTTATATTTCGCCCCAGGAGTCGCCCTGGAAATGGCGAAGGACCGGCCCACGGTGCCTCCGTCTGGCCCAGGCTGACCGATCTACAGGAAAAAACAAATGAATCCATGCATTGAGCTTTATTTGCAACAGTCAACGTATTCTTCATCCAAGGATCTAGACATGGCAGGAAGTTTATTAAAGCATGGAAAGTGAAAAAAATATCTGGTTTGAACTGGAATATTATCTACCATTCAAGTGGTCACACAGGAGAAAATCTATAAGCAATCGAATATCAAACTTGCTGAGGGCAGATCAGTGACCTTAGTTATAGGATGATTTATTTCTACTTTAGGCAAATGTTTGTTTCCACTCAGAAATAATTCATAGGAGAAAAAGAAATTCAAGCCTTCTTCAACCTCCCAGCCTCCTCAGGGATGTAAGAAGCTCCAGCTTTTGAGGGAGTGGCCAGAATTCATTCATTCATTCTCTCCCTTTCTTTCTTCTAATGCAGGAATTAATTGACTCCTTTCAGCTGATATTATTCAAAGTATTCATTCTCATTTAAAATATAGTAAACCCTACTAGAAAGTCTTTTTTTTTTTAATTTTTTTTTTTATTTTTAAACCGACAAACAAAACAAAACATAATACACATATATACACAATGTATATTTTAACATCAACTTCGTGACGGTATTCTTCTATTATTTACATTTTCCCCATTATTTCTTATTTACATTTTTCTTTCTTCATACATTATTATATACACATTTTCCACGTTTAACTTTTCCACACTTATTCTCTCTTATTTCTACTCTCTAGCCAGTCATACCACTTGCTCCATATTAAATAATATTCTATGTCTTCTTTTTCTTTTATCTCTTTTGTTAATTTGTCCATCTCGGCACAGTCCAGGATTTTCTTTATCACTTCTTCCTCTGATGGTATATTCTCGTTTTTCCAGAACTGTGCATATGCTATTCTTGCTGCTGTTGTTATATGTAGAATACCGTATTT